ACAAACACATTGCATCGCAGTCATGTAGCCATCCCAGTCTCAATAAAAATTGAGCACCAATGCCCCCACTTCCTGGTTGTACTGACAAATTTGACCAAAATGGACAAAGACTATAACTAAAGACAATTCCTCAATATTTTTATTTTTAGTTACTTTTTTAAGTACACAATATCTTTTTAGTTATTTTTTTACCTAATTTTAGTTTTTAGTTTTGGTTGATCATAATAGCCTTGGTACAAAGCCCGAGCAAAGGAGAATGGGAGAGAATTAGTTAAATATAAGTGCACCAAAATGATGGCTCAGGCAGATCTAAACCTGTAATCACTTTCAAATATGCTTCTAAAAGTACTGCAGTTCTTAATTTTACGCGTTTTCTAAATTAATAAATAAAGTTCAAATCCTATTTAAATCCATCTGGACTTAATTCTTTAGTATGGAAAAAGTAAGTAGGGATGATTATTGTCTTATGGCACTGTAAATGAACTGTATTTGTATTTTACTTTCCTGCACCCTCATCCTGTATTTAAATGGAAAAAAGAGTATACATTTAAGACAAAGAAGAACATTTGCTGACGAATGAAAATTGCAGACTACATCTGTCCACATAGAGTGGGTTATAATTAACCACTTGTCCCATTCACCCAACAATAACGGTTTTGCTTTGCTTGAGGATGTATTTTGACATAATGACCTATACTTAACTCTAACTCTGTATAAATATTGAGCAATATCCTCCTTATGTTTATAGTGTCTTGATACAGCAGCATTTGTATCATTTTGTTTTGTATCATTTGTGCCATAGTTTGCTGAAGCCTCTCCTACTCTCTGACAGTGACTGTAACACATCTCTACTCTTTGGCTTTTGACAGGTGTGTAAAAATATATTTCTTAAGACGACTGTAACAACTCAAATGTTTTTCATGTCTTCAGATTACGATGACGGGTTTTCTATAAAGCACTCAGCTGCATCTCGTTTCCAACGCAACCACCGTCTGATCAGCGAGATCCTCAGTGAGAGTGTAGTGCCAGATGTGCGGTCAGTTGTCACCACTGCTCGCATGCAGGTCCTCAAACGCCAGGTCCAGTCTTTAATGGTACACCAGGTATGGTCAAGTCGCCGTCTTCTCATTTTCACATAATGTTGGCATTTAGCAAACTTTTGTCGGGGCTAATAATGTAATAATCGTGTTGCCTGTGTGTGTTATGATGCAGAGAAAGTTGGAGGCAGAGTTGCTTCAGATTGAAGACCGCCACCAGGACAAGAAGAGAAAATTCATCGAAGCCACAGAGTCATTCACAAATGAGCTAAAAAGGGTACGGCGTCTTTTACATCAAGCCTGGTCATTGCTTACTCGCACGCAAGCTTCATTTTGCATGTTCAACTGTACAGTGTGCAGCTCTGGTTATGTGCCAGTCTACGTCTGCCTTACAGCCACCAGCTGCTGCTAACTCCATCCACATGTTCTGGCAATCATATAGCTGTCATCGTTTACAATTTGTAGCCCCCATAATAACTGTTGTTCTGAAATGAGATTCAGCATTGTGCAGTTGAATGCATCTGCTGATCACAACAGGTGGCGCCATTTATCCTTTTGCAGAGCTTCTCACAGCATCCTTTCACTGACTGAGAAGTAGCAGTTTAAAGACTAAGCATGCACTAAAGCATTGTTGTAGTTAAGATCCGATTTGTGCACATTCAGTGACATCATTAGTTACATTAAAGTGTAAAAAAACAATTCTACTTAGCACATACAGCATGCTCACGAGTGCAGTAGTTGCTTTCTACATTAAGTCCCCCGTGTACTGTACTTTTAAGCTGTGCTGTATGAAGGTGGAAGTGGACATGGAGAAGATTTCTGCAGAGATTGCTGCAGCAGAAGAGGCAGCACGCAAACGGATGGCAGAACGAGAGAAAGATGCAGGGGACCGAGGTGCACGAGAGGCCCCCACCTGTGTCTTAGCAGAAGAGGAAAAACACATTTGTGCAACACATGGCAACAAGTCCCAGCCAAATCCTCTCAGCGAAAGTAGCAACAAAGAAGGCGAGGACACAGAATCCAACACCACAGACACTCCAGGTGAGCCACACTGGCTTTTTTTGTTTTGTTTAGGCTTTTGTGCAGTTTGGCTTATTATTTTTTAACATCATGTCATGTTTTTGTTTCTTTGACTCAGGAAAGCCGAAGACCTCAGAGGAGCTTGAGGCTCATCCAGGCAGTGAGGAGGGGGTGTCGGAGGACAAGGAGAGCGTGCCAGAGGCAGCCATGGAGGAGGGAACCAGCGACAGTAACACAGGCTCAGAGACCACCTCTGCTCAGACAGAAGATGCCCCTACCACTGAGCCATCAGAGGGCAAAGCAAGAGCAGCGCAATGAGTCCAACACCTGACTGTCTGTGGACTGTGAGGCTGTCCTTATGTCTATTGGCCTCTGATAACATACATTGCACAGTGTCATCTGAGTTTGTCAAAGCATAGGAAGAGCATTCAGATGGGCTCAGTATTTAACGATCCAAGTTCACAGACATGCGCTGAATACACATAAATGAAAAATATAAAGCACTTGAAGCCGACAAAGCAATGGTCCTGTCTAAAATCATTGGCTGCTAAGTGTGCCACAAAAGCCAGTGTGAAAGCGCTATATTATCTCCACAGGCCTCGTTGCAATCTGGAAGAACCCATACAGGCCCTCCTCAGCACATATTGATACATATCTCTAGCACTATGTCTGGCAGATTCCAGAGAGTCGTAAATTAAGACTGGCTATATGAAAAAAGCTGTCATGCGAAACAAACATTGTTCAGTGTTATATTTAACGTTGTCCTCTGTATTGTAGTGTCATTGTTGCTTTCATTGTTATTTTTGCATGTTGCAATCTTTTAAAATAAGTTGGCACACTTGTGAAGAGTGGAGCTGGGCGACCATCTCCTTGGCAGGAGAATATTTGTTTACTCTCTGTATCAGTATTACAGTGACAGTATTGTCTCAGGAGTTTGTAGTCATTAGTAGTAGTTATTTCTGTTATTTATTATTGGCATTTTATTATACTTGTGTATTGGTTGTCCTGGGCCCAGCCCAGTCCATCCATAAATATATCACATGATCATCAATGCTGTATAAAGCTCAACTACCAGTGTTCTCAAGTTTGCTAGCTGTCAATCAAATCAAAAGCTGTACGCTTAGAACATTTTATGTGTTATGATCAATATTGCAATTTTCAGCAGAAAACTTTTAAATGTACCGTAATTGTGTACACAGTGTAACGAGGTTTGCTTAAACATGGATTTTCATGTCGTAAAACAGCTTGAAGAACAGTCATAAACATGCAGTCTTAAAATGAATTTCCTTTTGCATATTTATACCAATAAACTTTTCTACCCTGAACAGGTTCTCCCTAGTATAAATAAATAAATACACACTAACATTTACAGCACAAACATGCACAATTTAAAATGTACACCAGTGCTTGTAACAGTATATGACAAAGCTGTGTTCTTTGATAACATTACTGTAAAAAGTCATGGTGGAGAAATGATCAAAAACAACAACACTATGCTAGTATGCAAACATTGTTGCATACAGTGTTCTTGCATATAGCATAGTTGTCCTTTGCACAGTACAGGTAAGGGAAGTGGGTAAGATGAGAAGGAATTGTTCTGATTTCCTGTTTTCAATGTAGATCTACCTAGTAATCCTCCTGAGCATTCAGTTTTGCATGTGACAAAATTACTCATTAATGGCTGAAGGAAATGTCTTAGACCTGACAGGAGGCATTTAGCTTTATGTGTGATGTTTTCAATGGTTGCAACCTGTTGTGAGATGGTGTTATGATCAGATTTTGTAGTGCTTTAGCTTCAATGTGAAAGATGCCCCCTGCATTGCAAACTGCCACGTTTTGTACCATGCGGTTAGCAAGTGAAAGCTAGAAACCACAACCACAGAAAATACAGGTGTGCACAAGCCTCTACAGAAGATCTCTAGTTAGTGGGCCGAAGGGTAGTTTTTCGAGACCTCGTGCTGTCTAGTATAACAAGACTTTTTGATACATACAATGATCGATACAACTGAATAACACAATTATCTGTTTAAGAAGAGCAAGCTGTCTCACCAACATCAGTATTTTACCCAATACGGTATATTACTACTTCTAAAAAAAAGAGTTTTATGAACTGGGTTAAGGTGTGTATAAAAATATATTGATGCATATTTCAGTTTTATTGAATCATCTACAGGACTTTGAACTGTCGCAAAAGAAGGCTTTACCTCAAATAACTAATTTAGATATGATTCATATGATGCTTCATACCTCTCTCAGGTTGTCTCTTCATGGAAACATGAGTTGTGGCTAAACATGTTAAATGATCACCTCCACAAATAACATGCTCTGTATTAATTTGATGAGTTGTTACTGTCTTTAGGAACAGACCAAATGTGGTATTTACTTTAGTATATTGTAACCCCTCAGAACCCTTAATAACCTCTCAAAATGATTTACATTCATTCCATTCATGCAGTGGTGGCCATGGGTTTCGAGTCCAACTTGTGGACTATGCTGCGAGCATACCCTCTCTTTCTTTACCCTGCTTTCCTATCTATCTTGAGCTATCCTATCAAGAAAGCCAAAAAGGCCCACGGTATACATATGTTAAAAATAAATCAACGAAAAAAGGTGTTGCAGTGTTTATAGTTCTAATTGAATTGCATTTATTCTTATTTTTTTATATGTGTGTATATACCCACATATACAGATATATGTCACACATGCTTTGACAATGTAAACGTAACGTCTGATTCCCTTGCCAATAAAGCCCCTTTAAACATAATTAGAAATGAATAAGGGACTTAAAGATAATCTACATATTTTAATAGTCCATTGTAGAACCAACAATTGAAAGGTTTGTTCATATTTTAGTTGGAGTCTGTGGTTTTCTCACATGATACTAGGGCTGAGGAAAGAAAACTCGTAAGGCAGTTTTTTTTTTTTTCATTTCAACAAGGGGAAACCACCATCAAACACAGGCAGTCAACTCATCCGTGTTTAGTGGCTTTACCTGCAGTGTACTACTCTCTGTCAAGATGACTTCTGTCAGCGGTGAGTACTTTATCAGAGATAGTTAAAAGGATCTTCTATGAGCCACGGTGAATGAATGCATGTAAAAGAAGCCAAAAGCAAATTTAAAACTATAATTCTAAGCTGTATGTAGCTCTCTGATTTTGAAATTATTATTATTGTGTCTACAAGTGAGTGAAAACAGTATGTAAGCTGTTTAACAAAGTCATCCATGTGATCCTGCCATACTTATTTCAGCCTGTGCAGTAAAGAGCAGATCGCTTGAAAGCCACACACTGCACACAAGGTGGCACCCAGGGTTTTTGTCCACCAGCGAAATGGCTACTGAATGCTCAAATTTGCCACTCAAAAGATTACCATTGTTTTTTTGGCTGATGAATTACTTGCACAATATATTACAACTGAAACAAACAATTATTTGCAAAGGTAGTTTTTAAACAGAGTTCTGTCTGTCTCTTTTGCCAAACAGCAACTAGTGGAATTTTTTTTCTGTAACAACACACAAAAAGGACTTTTATCAATATCACATTATCTGACTAATGGGTCTGTCTGTATTGAAGTGTAACATTTAACAGATACTACTAAGAGCTTTGACAAAATACAGAACTAAGTCATTTTTTTCAATATGCAGATTTAAAACCACATTACCACTGGCTGCACAGACAATGACACATTTAGAACCGAAAATATGACCTGTAGACTAGCATTTAAAGGGGAACCCCGACAATTTTCCATAGAAAGGTTTACTAGTAATAAGGAGTACTACTCGGCCTGTGAAAACACTTGTTAATAGAGGTAGCATTGTGAGGTCTAACAAAATAGATTCTCTCAACAAAAAGTCTGGTTTACAAACTGGGGTTATGAAGTTTGAAAGACGTAGGCATTTACCAGGCAGGTAGGGTCTAATGAAAAGATGCTATTAGTTGCATTATGGGAAGAGTTTGGGGAGTTAAATCCATACTAGGGAGTAAAATTTGGGATATTTCGGCCTTTTGCTACTTCAATTTTGAGCCTTCTTTTGTAAATCTGCCTTGTTCAAGACTCAACTTTTATACTAAATTGTAATACGCAGTACCCCTTTAACTGCTCATTCTATTACTCTCTATCATTACACATAATTACTCAATATTGTAAATCATACAATAACACAGATTCACTCCATTTGTTTTTCAGATCTCCAAAAGCTTCTGCCAACTGTGCTGATATGGCTAATAAATGTTAAGGTAAGAAAAACTGTAGCACCTCTTATTACCTTCATACATGTGAAAGATGACAAGATGTTAACAAATGTTTGTAGCTATTTGTATCCATTTATTAGTGGAAACATCTTCCACTCACCATTTCCTCTAAGGAAGTTGGTGGTTGAGGTGTAAAAAAAACAATATGTCAGGGGGGCAGTGGTAAGCAGGTAGCTCCTTTTGTCTGATGTGATAGTTGTTTGCTTTGTTACTGGCTTTTATTTGATCATGTCATCTGTCTTTGATTGCAGTCTTGCTTGTCTAAGGATGTAGAGAATATAACCACGATGGACGATTATTCCATGCCCAGTATGGATTATGATGGCTATCCTGAACTTTGTGTGAAAGCAAACAACCGCGTGTTCCGCCTCTGGTTCATGTCTCCCTTGTATTCCATCATCTGCTTCCTGGGGCTGGCAGGGAACCTACTGGTCATCCTCACTTTCTTCTACTTCAGGCGCCTCAGGACCATGACGGATGTGTACCTGCTCAACCTATCCTTTGCAGACCTGCTCTTTGCTCTGTCGCTCCCCTTTTGGACAGCCAACTCCATAACCGAATGGGTGCTGGGCTCTGTTTTGTGCAAGGTCATGCACACCGTTTACAAGGTCAGCTTCTACAGCAGCATGTTCCTCCTTTCGCTCATCAGCGTGGACCGCTACTTCGCCATCGCCAAGGCTGTCTCCGCTCACCGCCACCGCTCCCGAGCAATCTTTCTCAGCAAGGTGTCATCAGCTGTCATGTGGGTGATGGCGCTGATATTCTCCATACCAGAAATGCACTACACAACTTTAAAAAACACCACCTGTACCCCTTTTTCCAGCAATTACGATGGGCTCCGTGTCAGCATCCAGGCGACCCAGATTGTTTTGGGCTTTGTTGTCCCGCTCCTGGTCATGAGCTTCTGTTACAGCGGCATTATCCAGACCCTTTGCCAGGCCCGTAACTTTGAACGGAATAGGGCCATCAAGGTGATTCTCGCTGTGGTCACTGTCTTCCTAGCCTGCCAAGCGCCTTACAACCTGGTCCTGTTTTTGAACACAGTTGCCACAGCAAAAGGAGGGATCGTAAACTGCAATCATGATAACATTCTCCTCTACGCCACGGATGTCACCCAGTCTGTGGCCTTCCTGAGATGCTGCCTGAACCCCTTCGTCTATGCCTTCATTGGTGTCAAGTTTCGTCATGACCTCCTGAAGCTACTGAAGGACTGGGGTTGCATGAGCCAGGAGAGGTTCTTCAGGTATACTTGTGGCAGGAGGAGGAGTTCAGGGGCCACCGACACTGAGAGCACCACCACATTCTCTCCTTAAAGCTGTGTCAGCACGGACAAGAGCCTGTTCACACCTGCAGGCCACACAGTCCACTGTTGAACATTAAGATGAAAGTCTCAAACAAAAATGATTATGTACATAGCAGAGGTTGTTATATAAATGACAATTATGAAGTCTTTTGTTGTTTTTCGTTGTTTTAGTCTTTCTGTTAGTGTTTATTCTCGTCCGTTAATATCAACTGGGCTTTGTATTTTTTTTGTTTTCGCCACAGTGTACAGTATTTCAAGATATTCAATGTTATATTAGATATTAGATATTCACTCAACTGTTTGATGAGCACCAAATTATGTACATGAAACTAACCACAGTTCTATACTGTTTTAGTTACTCTTTTCTGTATTGTAAGATATTTTAATATTGAAAGATAATTCAATAAAATTAAATTCAGTTCAATTCAATTCAATTCAATTTTATTTGTATAGCGCCAATTCATAACAGAAGTTATCAGGACACTTTTGAGATAGAGCAGGTCTAGACCGAACTCCGAAAAGGCAGAAACCTAGGACAGACCCTTCGGCTCTAGGTGGGTGGTCATCTCCACTTAAACAAGACGTGAGATATACTGATTACATCAGCATTTTAAAATGGTTCACGAACAGAATTAATGTGGATTAAAAATAGGTGGTGACCATAATAAACATACAGTAGCAGTAAAAAAGGTATATATAAGTAAGGCTTGTATGTAAGGAGAAGAATTTAGATTAAATACTGACTGAAAGCCAGTGTGGACCAGAGGAATTATATAATTGTTGTAGAGTTTAGTAAAGTAGAAGTAGAAGTTATTGTCATTAAAAATACAGGTACTAGTGAGACTTAAACAATACATTTCGAAAATTGAGACAAGAGGAGAAAAAGTCTGGATTTTGACCAACTGCAGGAAGCACATGATTTTAACACATCTTAACAATTGGTGAAATATCTTTTGAAGTTCACCCTGGGGTAAAAATATCCCTCGTTTCCTAGCAACCAGCCAAGTGATGTTTGTTATTTTAGTCATTGCTGACTCGCCCTGATTTGAGAGAACTTCCAGTTATTGCTAAGATGAAGATTGCTCAACAGGAGAAAGGGCAGGATATCTTCACAACAATAAGAAGGGCCAGCTGTGTTTATGGCTTTACTTTGTGGTACTCTATGTTAATATTTTATGGAGAAAGAAACATAACAAAATTGAAAACAGAGGGAAATGTTGCCATTTAGACTACAGCCGAACCCATTTCTGAAACCAATACTGATAGATACCGATTTTAGAGGGGAAAAAATCAACCAATTACCGATATGGCGATGATATAGTGAATTTTTGAATTAAGAATAAATAAATAAATAAATAAATATTGCATTTATTGATATGACAGCTCAAGATAGACAGGAAAGGAGGAAAGACATGCAGCAAAGGGCCACAGGCCAGACTCTAAGCCATGGCTGCTATAGCAAGGACTGAGCCTTGGTACATGGGGCGACGGCCCTACCAGGTGAGGGCATCCCCAGAAAGCTGACTTTTTTAAACAAATAATTGTATTAAAGAATATTTAAGTTAAATATTCGTTCAATAATTTAACATATACATTGTCTATGTGTCTAGCTGACGTTGCTACTTCTTTCTTACACTGTGGTTCTGGCCACAGTATTGTAAATCAGTCTCACCACAAGAATTGTTTCTGCATTATATATAAAGAAAATTAGCAGAAAAGACATTTCTGCTATAATATCACCGACCACAACTAATTTAGACTTACTGTTAAACACACCTACAGTGAATATATGTAATCCACTAATATATGTAAGCAAGCACAACATTACAATGTTTTGATACACTGTCTCAGTCATAGCTCTGAGTAGTCAAACTGTAAAAAAAAAAAAACCCAATCCTTCAAGCCATAAACCTTTACACTGCCTAAGATGACATCCATCCAGTTGCAGCCGCAGGGATTCGTGATCCTCGCTGCTGATAGGCTTACAGGGAAAAGGGCTGGGATTTTATTAATAAAAGCATGCAACACACTGAATGTCAAAGTAAAACAGTGAACAGTCTGACAGTAAAACAGCATTACAACAGTAGAACCCCGACCAGAAGGAGAACAAAGGTAAGATTTCTTTCCTTTCTTTACCTTAACTTAAGATAAATAATAGAATATACTCTACAAGACATCAGTTGTAGTAAAATTATACATGATTGTTTAATGTATCATCAGCTTTGAACAGATTTATCAGCAGCACTTCATATTTATTGGATTGCGTTCTATTCATTTTTAATGTGTTTTATTATGATTACTGCAGTCTTTGCAGGGACATAAAAACAATGTAAAAGAAAATGATGATGCTCCACATATATTCTCATTTCTTCAGATGAAAAATGCTGAGTAACTCAAAAGCTGCTCATATGCCAATCATATTTCATGGCTCACTATGTTAACTGACCACGGTGAAGCTTTGTGGAACTAAAAAATGTTCTGAGTGATATGAATTTTCCAAAACACAGAAGCAGATTTTGGCCTTGGTGCCCACTTCAAGCTTAAAGTTTTGGCTGTTGTAGGAAAACACTAGTGTAGTCATGGTAACCACTAGTCACCTGGGTGACTCACTGAGCACCACGCCTCGTCTGAGAGGGAGACACAGTGTGAGCTCATTATCCCCCATATGACACATCCGCCCTGCTTGGGTCATTACTTATTAAGTGCTTTTATGTATGTTGCATGTGGGAAGACTTGGGCTACAAATATACTGATTATATGCACTGAAGACACATACTGTTTATTCAGCACAACAACTGTCTTATGTTACGTATTGCTTTAGGTCCAGTGAATGTCAGTGCACCAGCATCAAGTTTTACAGTGATGAACAAAGCACATATAAGACACCACTGTACGTTTGTCATTTATATCTATCAAATCTAGAACAACTTTTATTATTAAAGTCAGCTGCAAATGCAAATGCACAACAAAAGTTTTAATCCCTCGACAGAACAGTGACAAACTTAAAGCTAGGTCTTTATATGGTGCAGTGGCCAAAATGTTTCTATGAATATGAGCATCTGGGAAAAAGTGCTTATGATATTGTTTTGCAGAGAGGACAAAAGCGAGGCTGTCCTTCCAGTAAAGACTGTGTAAGTGATCTCTCTCCATTGTATGTCTTTCTTTGATCATCCCAGAAGACTGGGAGCTCTCCTACCATGATGCCTACAGCTAAAGGCATGTCCCACATGATACCCAACCACGTTCTAAGAGTGGGTCAAACTATCCACCTGGACTCGGTGCAGGAGACAGTCCATCAACATCCCGGCCTCACAGAGCCCAGCGGTAACCATGATGAGTCTGATCTCGACATTTCCCTGAATAATCTCAACCAGCTCATTCTGGAACTGGATCCGACATTTGAGCCCCTTCAGGTCAACAAAAGTCCCTCGTGCATCAGCCCACGCACAGGTACAGTACGACTGTAGAGCTCTCCTTTGTTTCTACACTGTTCAAACTTCTCTGTTACAGCCCTTTCTTACTTAAACACAGCAACGAAGGGCAACAAAGACCACCCTCAAACCTTCAGAGGTGTTACCAGTAAAACCACACTCACCCGTATGAAACAGATAGTACACATAGCCTGGGCTTTTGGAAATGCACCCTCCCTTTTTAAAGTAGAGGTAAGAATTTTTTTAATCATTAGGGTAATTGCACCACTTCAGCTGTTCTGGGATTACTGCCCAGACTAGGACCACACCCTGCACATGTTGTAGCACATGGCTGCAGACACGGCTCACCAAGAAGTCACGTGTGAAGGTGTTACCGTGGTGCCTCCGCTGCCTGCTTTGATCAGAAAGTGTGCACAAGAGTCAACAAAGCATGTGAATGGATTTCCTGCTTCTTTTCGACAAATGTTTGGTTGTATGTTTATGAAACCCGCAAGGTTTTGTGGGCACAACCAAGCTTCAAGAAAATGGATCAACAGTGATGAGAAATCCGACAACACAAAAGTCAATTTCATCCCATTGAAACAGTAAAAGAGAGGGTTTCTGCAGGCTTTAACAAGTTTAATTACAGACTTTTTTATGACCATCATGACTGCAGTTTAAGACAGGAGACACCCTGAAAAGAGACAATCCATGTCCTGCTTGATGATGTACTCATTTCCTATTGTTGCAAAATACAGTATTCCCCTTGTAACAGTCATCACATCAGCTACCTATAGTCCCAGACAGATTTTCTATTTCTGTATAGAGATTTGTCATTATTATGAAACTTTGGTTGCAGAAGCCAATATGTGGCTCACACTCTGACCACAGGCTACAGTTTTCTCCTAAGGGCATACACTACTTAGTTCCCATCAACACAGAGAGGCAAACAGATCCTCAAGAGAACAAGCTGGGACTCCTCTAGGTGATTCCGTATCACCGCAACAGCAAAAATACACAATTGAAAGCATTTAATTTTGATTTGGAAGGAATGGCCTGAGCTGTGCAAGCAGGTACCTGCATGAGAAATCTGAATGTCTTTCAGTGTCAGCATTCGGGTTGACATACACAGACCAAGCCCATTTTGCAAACAGAAAACCAAAGCATGAAGCCAGAGAAAACATGGAACCCGCAGGGTTTTTCCACTAAAAGTTTCACATTCTTCATAACATTTTACAGTCCTCTTTCAGGGTTCTTGCTAACACTTTCCACTCTCCATCCTCAGACGACTCCTTCTCAGATGAAGATGTCTCCCACTGCGTGTTGGTCCCTAGAGGATGTGCTCCCTGCTCCTCGCCCACTGTGGCCCTCTCTATGTCACCCAGTATTCCCATCCCCACACAGAGCAGTCTGAGCTGCAGTCCCAATGGATCACTGGTGTTCTCCAGCTCCCCCACGTCCTCCCTGCCTCCACTGCCCTGTGGAAGTGCACCCCGACGTAATCCCTCAACAAAGCAAGATGTAGCCTTTTCCCAAGGATCCCTGCGCTTGTCACACTCCAACAGAAACAGTGCTACCTCACTCCTCTCCATGTCAACATGCTCAGACACCAGCTACATTCTTGGCAGGTAAAACTCACAAAGCATCTTTCACATGCAGCAACTTGTGAATATGCTGAAAACCCTTAGCTGCACTGTATTAAGAGCCGGACCAGAGCCCCTCCACTAGCTGACTTAGTGAATGCATGTTTGTGATTTTGCAGTGGAACAAAGGTTTTACGGCAGCAATAAGAGTCCCAAACAGGAAAACAAAACCACATTCTCAGAGACAATGTTTTTTTTTTCCACCCGTCTCCCTCGATTCTAATGTTACAAATGAAATGAGACAGCATGACAGCATTTCTGCTTTTTTTGTGAAGTTCTCATACAAAATATCCTCTTCCTCCCTTTACAGCAACCTGTCCCTGGCCAGTGAAGATGCTGACTCTCCAGAGTCCATCCTTACATGCACGTCAGGCTCTTTCGGTGATGGGACCAGAACAAGGCCATTTGATAGCAGGCACAGCCCAGAGAAGCCCCCGCTGACAAAGCATGGACATCTACAGGGGCTTCACAGCAAAGGAGCACAGAGCAGTCCTGCTTCGCTCTCGGGATCTTTGACCGATATTCCTGTGCTGCTAGTCAACGGTGCACCACAGCCGGACATCCACACTCCTGGACCAGAAATTGACTTGATACAGAACTTCCCAGTGTCCAACTCAAAGCCACTTTCTCCTCACAGTGAGTCACATGTGTCATAGTACATACTATACGTACATTTAAAATGTTTGACCCCGCTAACATATCTTTATGGTTGTCTAGGTTTCCAAGCCCGTTTTAATGGCAGCCAACCCTCAATGAAATCTGTCATGGACACTTCAAAATTTTGGTTTCGTCCACATATCAGCAGAGCAGAAGGTGAAACTCTCAAAACATCACTCCACACTGAAGACTCACTGAAGACATGATAGCTTTACTAACACACATTAGCAAGTGTCCCTAAGTATTTTCTGTGATGTTTCGTTTGTTCTAGCTGAAGCCCTGGTAAAGGACAAGGCAGCAGGAACATTTGTGGTGAGAGACAGCACCTCCTACAGAGGCAGTTTCGGTCTGGCCATGAAGGTGGACCAAACTTCTGCCAACTTCACCGCTACCACCTACCCAGGTAAACCTTTACCCGTCAGTGCAGCGGCCTGACCTAATGACTCCTCTTGTTTGGCATGCTATTATAATTAACCGCAGCAGTGTTTGGACAGACACAAGAACAAGAAAGTCTTGAATGCCACAACAATCACAGACAAACAATGTGAACATAGTGTAGCAGCACTGTGCTGCTGTCATCATTTGTCTATACCAGGCACAGATGTGAAAGGCACAGGGAATCACTTACCCAACTCTGCTCATGTGACTGGGCACGTCTGATGACATCCAACTATCTGTGGCGAGGCAGTAGACAGCACTGTTATTTTTTCCACCGGTATACGCTGTGTAAACACAAAAGAAAGCCAGCTGTTTATGGCACTGTAAGCAATCAAAGAGGGACCTCGCTCACAAAACAATTTTGAGGGCTACTTCATTTGCAGGTTTGTATTTGTTCCACTTGTTTGAGGAATGCAGGTTATGAAAGACGTGTGAGCACTGTGTCGGGCAATGCAATTAATTTCATTTTATAACTGAATGCCTCATACATACAGCAACCGACAGGACTGAGCGTGTGCTAGATCGACTAATCACTAACGATGTTAGCACTCCACCTTGTGAATTTTGGGAAGGCGGTGAAAAGGTTTCGAGCCCTGTGCTATAACTCTCCTGCATCCTGCTGTAAACGTATACCTGAATTTCCTACAGAATAGAATTATACATGACTTCTCTCTGTTTTCATATCTGCATTATATATCGGCCATCGGCAGCCCTGCTCTGTAAATATCGGCATTGGCCATTGAAAAACCGATATTGGTCAATCGCCATTCTGAGCCATTTGAAAAAATCAGTTAAAGAATCCTGACTGATTTTGGTTGTCTGAAGGCAAGATGTTGAGACTTGGATTCAGGTAAATAAGTAAAAATAATAAATAAATCAATCAAAAAATGGATCAGCCATGAGCCATATGAAATAACTGTCAGTGCCTCTTTATCACTTGTCTACATCAAGATCATATATTGTGCATTAACTCCACTGACTGCATGTTAAATGTCATTTAAACAGGTGAAAGCAGTTCAGATCTTGTCAGACACTTCCTCATTGAATCATCATCAAAGGGCGTACGCATCAAAGGCTCTACTCAGGAACCATATTTTGGTGAGTAAAAGTCAATTACAACAATATGTTATTGCAAACCTATAAAGTGATTCATTTACTACATTCATGCTGATGAAGTCGGCCACACCAGAACTGCGTCAGCCATGTCTGGCCTCTTGGTGTGTGGGTGAATCTTGTTCTTTATTCAAAGGTATGAGTTCATAGGGTGTGTTCTCACATCCACAGAGCCGCTATCAAGGTCTCCTCTCTCATATCAGCCCGTGTGGGTGTGAGCACTACGACGTGCACTGTTGTTTCTGATTCCACAGAACACTATCTGAACTTGGTTTGGTGGCTCTGGAAAATCCCCTGATGGCAAAATAATTATGTTGAGCGATAACCCAGCATATCATTTAAATCTTTCACATGAAAGTCTATATCGTGACAAAAATATCGACTTTATGCAGAATTGATACTAGAGTGGGATAATGGATTAATGTACGTTATAAAAGCCAAATAACCCTCCACTCCACATCTGAAAAATAACCTACAGAAAACACTATAGCGTACTGTACTTACAATCATAAAACGTCCCGCTCCTTATTCATACTTTAAAATTATGAGTGGAATATTAAAATTTTTGTAAGAATGTTTGGGGTCCAGAATAAGACAATTCATTTCTCAATCATATTTGAGTTTAACGAAAGCTGTGATTTTGTGTTATCTTTGCAGGTAGTCTCTCTGCCCTGGTCTACCAGCACAGTATTTCTGCTTATGCTTTACCCTGCAAATTACTGCTCCACTCCCAAGGTAGGCCATTACTGCAAGACACAGTTTTTTCTTCTTCTTTTGGGTGTGTGTGTGTGTGTTTGAGAGAGAGAATAATAACATAATCTTTGCCTACAAAGATCTGGGTGCAGCAGAAGAGAGGGGAAATGAAAAACCAGCGTCGGAGGACAAGAGTAAAACCGGTAGGAGAGCACTAGAGAATATAATGTTAAACACTGTTTACATAGCACTTGTCTAACTTAACTATCTACCTATATATCTTGAAGTAGATTTAAAAAAGGAATAATACAATTAAAAAAATAAAATAAAATAATAATAATAATAATAATAATAATAATTAATAATAAATAGGCCATTACATTTAAGTGAGGACAGGGCTTTAAAGTACATGTATGTTCTTACCTTTTATACCTCTGTAGTCATAATGGTTGTGCAGCCATGTAATGCTAACAGTAGCTTCTCCCGAGCAGTTCGCTAATAATTATTACTAGTACTATTACTATTAGTAATTAACATTACTTTATGTTGAAGGCTAGCTTTAGCAAAGTCTTTAGAACTCCTCTGAAACTATTCAAAAAAAAGTCCTCAATGGTAAATGGCTATATTTTAGTACAAAAAGTAAATGTATCTTGAAGCCAATCCAATGAGGAAAAAGATTAAAGACACGTTTGACTGTAGTTTCATTGTCACCACAGATATATCACTCCACCTTGCTAGCTAACGTTAGCTTTCCTCTGGCGGTTAATTGACCTTTATTACAGCGACTCTTTTGACTCGGGCTGGCAAGCAAAGGACACACAGTGTAATGAATAACCTTATTAATGAAGGCTGCGCCAGTACTATGCTCCTGTTCAAGTGTTCCACACAGCAGGCTAGTACAAGTCATTCCTGTATTTAAGCAGAAGAACATAGCTTAAGTATTAGGAGCATCTTGTACTTAAAGTACTATATTATTACATGTAGTATTCAATGTTGTAAGTGCTCGAGGTCAAGATAATATTTTATTGCTATGTAGTTTATTCCAAACAAATTGCTTAATATTTTATTATTGATTGACATGATTGTATATTTTTTTATGTCCAATCTTAATCTAAATACATTTAGTGTGGTAAGAAAGTCTAATATTATATCTGAAATGTGGTTCAAGTCTAAAACACCATAAACTGGAAATACGTGCAAATTGCAACTTGAAAAATATTTCTTATATTTGGTTGTTTGTTGATTTGACTTGGTAGCAGCCATTATGGCATGGAATAGTAGGGTAAATTTTACTAATTAAGGTTCTATTATATTTCATCATTATATCATTCTACTATTTCCTACCAAAATGTCTACTACCAAGTCCAATGGACAAACAACATCTAACATCTTACTCATTTTAATTCCATGTGTATTCAGCCTCTATTGCTAATCAAACTATCATGTTTGTCTTTTTCATAGCTTGCAACTTCATCTACCTGAATGCAGTCCCCACTGAGATGCTAACGGGCCCTTGTGCAGTGCAGAAGGCAGTGTCCACCACACTTGAGAAGGCCCCGGGTTCCTTCACACCAACCATAGTCAACCTGAAGGTGTCTTTGAAGGGTGTTACGCTGACAGATATCAACAGGAAGTAAGAAAACACAAAAAAAACACATCCTGTCAATCTGCTGCTGAGATTTTACTTACAGTACACTACAAAATCATGGTGGTTTGTGTGTGTTTGTATTTTTTGTCAAGACTAAATTTCGAAAAAACATAAAACATAATCATTTCTTCACAGGCTCTTCTTCAGGCGCCATTACCCAGCTCACTTGCTGAGCCACAGTAGTGAAGATCCAGACAATCGACTGTGAGTATACAGCAGCTTGTTGTGAACTCTTTGAGAATTAAATAATAATAATAATATTATGTGACCAGTTCACTATAGTTGCATTCTCTTTCGCATTGGTAACTTCATATACAAAGCTAATAAATTACTTTAGGAGTATTCCTTTAGGTTTGACAATGTAATGAGGTTTTTTTTAATTTACCACATAAAGAACATCTTTTAATCTTTGTTGTTTTAACCCCGACAGGTGGAGGAGAGGTTGCAGTTTTGGTGCAAGGTAATTTTGAGCTTTCATTGCTTACAATATCAGAATAATGTTTTCAGGCTCGTCTGCAATTCACATATTTTATACTTCACTTTAGAGAACACTATCGTTTCTTTGTCCCAACAGGATGTTCGGCTTCGTGGCGAAAAGTGTCGACGCTGGCATGGAGAATGTGTGCCACGTCTTTGCAGAATATGACCCCCTGCAGCCTTGCGACAAAGTCATTGAGGTTATTCAGGCTGCCATAGCCAAACTATAGACACACAAGGACTGAGAGAACATGATACAGTAAAGCCTTACCTACACTGTCTGTCTTATACTGTACTTTTCTGAAGTAACCTGTCTAAGATGGTGGTCATTGTAAGTGTCACTACTACTGTTGTTAAACTGGACTGGAAGTCACTGTATCTGCTAGATTACAATAGCAGCAAAAAGAAAGTGTTTAGTAGAACCCAGACTCGTCCCTTGGTTACATGATAAAGGTCATAATGGAAAGACAGGTGCACCTGTGGCATATATGAAGCAACAAGAAACAAAAACAGTAACCAGCAGGTCAGCACACTACAGCTGTTAAATAAAATCTAACCAGCAAAAACTCGCAAGCAAAAATTGATGTAATACTTGAAGCTCCCAAAAAATAATTTCAGTGTAAAATGTTTTTGTATAAAGACATGGTAAAGCGGTTGGTCTGTCTTATTCTTTATCTGAGAATGATTCAGTGTAAACTGAAATGTAAATCTGCACTAACTGATGCTATACAATATAATGGTGAGGGAATTTGAAGGTTCTGTGTAATAGAAGAAAAACTGACATGTCCATTCATTTCAAAGCAGAACCTTGGCAGATACCCCAGTTGTATAGTTCAGAATGTATTTATTGTACTGCACTGTAACCAATCTCATCTCTGTATATTCACATTATTAATTTTTTAAATTGAAATAAACATGTTGAACTTTTGAACTTGTGTACGTGCACACTGTTTACGTCTGAGAGAGAGACAGCTGGGTGTAAGATTATCTATCTTTAGAAATAAGGGGAGCCAAAGAGGGCATTGTGGTTGATGAAGTTCTGTTGTCTAGTTAAAGTAAAATTATGATAGTAAACATTTGACAGAAAACACAACAATCTGCACAGTTCTTTTTTATTTTAAATGATAAATTGTTAGATAAAAGCAGAATGCTTCATTCTGAAGTTACAGAGCTCCCAAATGAAGTGTGCTTCATGAAGCAAAGCAAAAAAGCACAGAACTGCATAGATAAAATCTTCAGATATTCTCGATATATTCTGAGGCACCCAAATGCAATGCACAATGGTCGTTTTCTTACTTGTATCTTTGGTGCCAACTCAAAATTTAGCATAAAAACTCTTAATCTAAGGTGTAACAGAGCATGTGCTACACAACCGGAGTTGAGCATTGAAGATACACTGCAGTGTTAACTATTTACAAATACTGCCCTCCTCTGGTTAAGACAGGGAATTGAAATTCTCTGAGACACATGGTGAGTGTTAGGAGCCTCACTGCAGTTAACAGTCACAGTGAGCACATTTTTTATTTTTTTTTTTGGATAATGCATCATAAAATATAGCTACACTATCATTTTGAGTTGCAAGTTGTTTTCCCCCTCCACATAGAGAAAGAACTGCAATGACAAAATACCTTTACTAAGTGCTGTATGCAGTGCAAGCATTTAGAGACTGTACAGAAATGATTAGGGTGGGAACATTATGTTTCACTTTTTTAAAAAGCGTGGCCATCTCCAACATTATTAATATTTTTAATGGACCCTTCCCTTGACAAAGAGAAAAACTGCAACACCCTCTCTGCAAAATCTTACAGTAATATAACACTGTTGAATGGCTAAAAGTGCGCAAGATATGAAGATATGGTGTGCTCCAATTTAAACCTTAAAGGTTATATATATGAGATTGAAAACATTAATATAGCAACAAGCAACTGTTTGCTCTGTAAAGTATAGTAGAGTCACGGTGTCCTGGACAGAGAATGAATCCCTCTGCCTGTGTTGTTATTGCAGCCTCTCTGTGGTTTGTTTATATATCTGGTCTGTTCTGTGTAGAGCGACTGAAACAGCAGTTTTTGTCATCTATGTCGGTGAATTAACGATTTATTTTAACCAAAACCTGAATTAGTGGTTGTTAGAACAGTGAAAAGACTAACAAAGACGATTTTGCTGTGTGTTATTTTGTTTCTGTCCACTTTAAATGAAATTATGTTACAATGATATGCAAGGTAAAAGAAATTTGTCTCTGAAGTCTGGTGGCGAGCAATAGTGATATTACGGCTGTTTCTGGTTAAACAAAAGGTTTATCTCTGTAGGGATCCTTTCCATAATGTTGTCAGACATAACAGAACACAAATCTGAGC